AAATTTCTTTAATAATGCCATTATCAATTCATTCTTAAAATGGATGCTACGATCTGATGCTATATATTGTGGGCAACTACACCTGCAGATTATTTTTTCATATATAAATTCAGCAACTTCATTTGCATTGTCTTTTTCAAGTGCTTTTGCTTCAGGCCACTTTGACATATAGTCAGTGGCCACGACTATATATCTTTTATTTCTGGGCGTTATGGGCAAGGGCCCTACGATATCAATGCCAATTCAATAAAATGGTGAGTCCACTTGTATCGGGTGGAGAGGTTCTTGAAGCTTATTCTTTCCCCGTCGTTGACATGAATCGCACGTGTGTACATATTCCTTGATATTATTGAACATTTGGGGCCAAAAATAGTATATTCTTATTTTGTCAAACATTGCTTTTTGACCCATGTGACCTCTGGTAGGATGATTGTGTGCAAGAAATAAAATGGGCTTTATTTCGAATGTTTGTATAACTTTTAACCAATTTCCTTTTTCTCGTCTATCTTTTCTATATAGCATGTTGCTTTTTACTTTGAAGAATTTAGATTTTGAAACTATCCTTAGTTGCTCTTGCTTGTTCAGGCTCGATGATAAATGCTGTTCCAAAATGTATCACCTCAGTTGATGGTAATATGTTAAGTCCATTTTTTTTTTTTTGAAAATTCGGAAAAAATAGAGCTAAATTTACTTAAAAAAAATTTTTTTTTTTTTTTTTTTTTTAATTAATTAATTTGAGTGAAACTGATTCAACAAAATATTACTAAGTTATGTTGCTGAAAAAACTACAATTAAGAAACTTGGGTAAGTAAAAATTCAAGTATTCATTTAGAATGAAACTTAATAGGTAAAAAAAAATTTGTGGATATAAGACTGAGCTCACTTATTTGAGTGAGAATATGATTTCTAAGAACTGTAAGACTAAAAATTTGATAATTAATGTGCTAATAAAGAACGTTATGATTATGCGTTTGTAAAATCTTTCTGCTTCTCTTTTTTTTTCAATTGTTACTATTTCTTATTTTGGGCCAGGACACCGGTAACCTGGGCTGTATTGGGTCCGGATTTTATTTTATTTTTTTTCAATTGTTATTTAAATACGGGAAAGTACGTCTGTGTTAAAGTGTTTTCTCCCGAGGCAGTGTTCAATACTGTAATTATATGGTTGCAAATAGAGAATCTAGCGAGCACGGCAGCCTTTTAGTTTTGAAGTTTCCAACTACTTTAATGCTGAATGATCGGTTATACTGTAAATGGACTATAGCCAAGATAGTGGTGGAAATATTCGATTGCCTAGATAATGGTGAGACACTATTGTTCTGTCATAGAATAGTTATGTTCTGGCCTTGTAAGACTTCTTGAGGCATAGATGACAATGTATTCTTTACGATCGTCACTGACTTGGGCCAAAACAGCATCTAAACCTACTTCTTAGGCATCCGTGTATAAATAAAATCTTCGTTCAAAATCTGGGTAACGTAGAATTGGTGCAGAAATCAGATATCACTTGAGAGTGTCGAAGGATTGTTGTTGATTATTAGTTCAATTGTATTGTTTGTTCTTTTGTAATAAATGATGCAAGAGCTTTGCAATTGTTGCAAAATTTTTAATAAATTTGTGGTAATATGATGATAAACCCAAAAAACTGCATAATTATTGTATATTGTGGAGTACCAGGAAATTTTGCACTTTGTCTACTTTTGTCTTGTCAGGTTGTATTCCATCTTTACCAACTATATGTTCCAAGAAATGTAGGTTTTGTAAAAAAATTAGCACTTTTCTAAGTTTAACTTAAGACCTGCATTGTTTATTAATTGAAAAACTTGATTCAAGTGATTAATATATTCTGGGAGAGTACGAGAGTAAATATTAATATCGTCAAGATAAACTGTGATGAATTTACCAATAAAAGGGACTAAGACTTTATCCATCAGTCTCTGAAATGTCACCAGAGTGTTACAAAAACCGAATGGCATAACCGTGAATTCAAACATTCCATATTTTGTTACAAAGGCTATTTTTTCATAGTCTTTT